TTCGAACCCGCCACCTTAGGTGTACGTGGCTGGCGCCTTAGCCGGTTGAGCTATAGGCGCCAAGCCATAGCCTTGAATTCTTCACTGTCACCAAATGCTTTATGAATATCACACAGGTACAAGTTTCCTAATGCATCAGTGAGCATCTTGCCTTCGAGGCCACCAAGGGGCGACTTAGCTTGTCTGTTCACAAAAAGTCCCCCCAGACTGAGCAGCTGGACAGTGTGTGTGACCTCGGGCACCTAGCAGGGCGAGCTGCGCCAGGGCTGGGGACCTGGCACCTTGCTTCCGCCTTTCACCTCTGCTCTCCTGCCCTGCAGTCTCATCTGTCTGTCCTTCCTCCCTCTGCTTGGTTTTTGGGAAACAAATCCTTTCTTCCTCCTTTCATCAATTGTTCTCCTTTCCTTCTCATTGTCTTGTACATCTTAGCTTTTGAACCAGTGTAGTTGTCTTTCACAGCCATTCCTAACTAAGTCCTGTGGCCACCAGTCACTGGGTGCCACATGCTGTTTCTGGCTCTCAGCTGCTCCCCCAAATGGCTGAGTACCACTGGGAAACAAACGTGCTCCAAAGGACTGTAGCAGGAAGGCTGCTCTGGACCAGGGGGAGGGGGAGCAGAGATGGGGTGAGGCAGGGCGGGTGCTGCGGGCAGAGCTGAAAGCACATGACCTTGGACCAGTGTGCTGAGACCCTGGGAGAGGAAAGAACCTGGTTCTGGAACACAGAGCCATGGACTGAGTGTCCATAGCTGAGGTGTGGAGAGCAGATAAGGAATTTGGTTTTTATCCTAAAGAAAATGGTGACAAGAGAGACAACAACAAGAGCCAGCACCTAGGGGCCAGGGACTGTCCCAAGCACTTCCCAAGTACCACTTCATTCAACCCTCAGACCCACCTCAGTTAGTGCTGTGCTGTGTGTCCCCCACCAATTCATGTCGAACTCCTCCCTCACAATGTGATAGGTTTAGGAGGTGGTGCAGAGCCCTCATGATTTGGGTTGGAGACCTTTCAAAAGTGGTCCCAGAGAACTCTCTAGCCCTCTTTGGTCATGAGGACCCCGCAGAAGGTTGTAGTTGCAACCTGGAAGAGGGCTGTTCCCCAATCTCAGACTTACAGCCTCTAGAACCATGCTAAGTCACTTCTGTCATCTGTAAGCCACCCACATGGGACTTGGTGATAGTAGCAGAGTAGACAAAAGCAACACTGATACAATGTCCCCTGTAGGTCACTGCTCACCTTCCCACCTAGCTACCAGCCACTTGAGAGTTTCAAGCTGAGGAATAATATAAAAATAGATTTTTTATTTTAAAAACCAGCCCGAGGCTAGGCCAATTGCTTGAGCTAAGCAATTTTGTGACCCTATCTCTAATGTTGTGGTGGGCACCTGTACTCCCAGCTAGTAGGGAGGCTAAGGCAAGAGGATCGCTTGAGCCCAAGAGTTTGAGGTTGCTGTGAGCTGTGATGCCACAGCACCCTATGGAGGGTAACAAAGTAAGAGAGACTGTTTCAAAAACAAATCAGCCTAGTTGCTGGACTGAGGGAGGTCTGGGGAGTGGGAGGTGGGGTGACAGCTGGCCCAACAGCTTGCCAGTTACAAACCTCGGTTGGCTACAAAGACCAATGTTTGCCAAAAATCAAAAAAAGCATCAATCAGTTGGCTACATGGAGTTGTAAGTACTGTACGCTTTCTTATCTGTAACTGCATGCTGTACATCCCATACATCAATACAATTTAAAATGCTTACGAGGAGTATCTAGCCTTGCAGGATTTCATTTGTGTGTTTCTTTCCTGTGGACACCAGCTGCTAGGGCCTCCCAGGGGACATTAGTTGCAACTTGACTTTCAAATCAAATAAATATTCTCAGCCCTTGGCTCTTTCTTTTTTCCTTTTTTTTTTTCTTTAAGAGACAGGATCTTGCTAAGTTGCCCAGGCTGGATTGGAACTCCTGGGCTCAAATTATCCCCCACCTTGGCCTTCTGAGTAGCTAGGACTATAGGCATGTGCCACTGTGCCTGGCCCATGGCTCTTCATTTCTGACAACTAAAAGAGCAAGTCTTCTGCAAGCATTCAGAAGAGACATTTTCTTTTATAAGTCACCTACCCAGCCAGTTGAAGTTCTATTTATGACCATATTTTAGATATAACTTCCAACCCCCAGCAGCAGAGACCTCAGAATAGGGCTCATGAAATCCACTGGCTTCAAGTCAGATGAATGCTTGGCTGACTCCATCTGATTCTCTTCTCTAAACTGAAAGTTGATGTCCAGGCCCACAATTAAATAGGAGGTAGAAATCTCCAGGTATTCATTAGGAACAGAATTGAGTCCAGCACCCTCAGTCTCCCTTGTCTTGGGAAAGACACATTGTATGAGCAAGAATCGCCAACTGAACAAGGTGGACACTTGCATCGCGGTTGGCTGTGACAGGGCAAGAGCCCCTCTCCGTCCCAGTCAGCCTGGGCTTAGTGAGAAAGTACACTGCAAAAACAAAGCAAAAAGCTTTACACCTTTGCAGCTCATCAAACACACTTTACAGTCCAGCAAGGGTCTCTTGTCTACTTGAGCGGAAATGAAGATCTTTTATTCTAACAGAAGAGGGAGGAAAGAAACCTGCCATAGGTTTTCAGTAAAATGCGTAGCAGCACAGAATTCTGAAATCAGAAAGAATCGGGAGACCATCCAGTCCAATTTTCTAAGGCCTATTCCTTGGATTGGTGGTACTGCAAGATACTCCTTTCAAATAGGATCCCGATGTGAAAAAAGCTTAGGTATCACTGTGCTATATATTTTTCCCATTGGTGATCCACAATGCACAACACATCAGCACATGAAGTTTCTGGAAACTGTACAACAAAGGAAGCTTGTTTCACTTAAATCAATGCGAGTGATTACTGGGGAAGGATGGAATACATCTTGGACTTAGTGCAATCTTCTTTCTTCATTGAGCAAAATGAAGTCCAGAAAAGCTGAGTGGTCTACCGAGGTTACATACACGATTTTGGTGGTGAATCCAGAATGAGACTCCTGCCCTCCTGGCTCTGCTTGTCCAAGCTCCCCTAGTCAGTGCCTTATCCAGCCAGGCGTTCTCACCAGTCCAGACCCCTTCCCAGACAGCTAATAGAGTGTGTCACTACTAGTGCCTTTGAGACTGCCTTTCCAAGGGTTTCATTCCCAAGGGTTCAAGTCTGGTGTCAATTATAAGTCTATCCTCCAATGGTGTGGATGGCAGATTCTATCCATACATGGTTAATTTTTGTAAAGAAGATAAATACTTCAGAAGTGTTTAATGAAATCTAAACTGTTGCCAAAGAAAACACTTGGCTATGAATGCTCTAATTCTGCAGATTAGCCCTTGTCCTTTCACCTGTCACCTTGGAGTTCCAGCAGACGCACAGCACATAATGTCTTCCTGTGGAAACAGTGGGCATATGCCAGGCACAAGGTCTGCTCCCACGCCAAAGTGTTTAGGAACCTGGGACACTGGCAAAGCATTTTATAGCTTCTGTGAGAAGGAGGAACACTCAGGACATCAAGTGGCCTGAAGAAGACCTCTGGGTAGGAGGCTAAGGTCGGCCCCCTCCCTCAATCTCACAGGAATTTCCTTGCCCTGCCCACGTGGGAGGTGGAGATCACTCTTCCCTTAGGAGAGATTCTGGTGATGGGGTTCAGGACATGCTCACTGTCCCAAAATATGTACCTTGACATCTGAGAAAACAGCAGAAGCAGGAAGGTTCTCCCCTTCCCCTGTTGCCCTGAAGCAGGCTGTGGAACCCAGCTGACCCTCTCTGAGTAGGTCTGAAGACCCTCATGCCAGAAGGAAGGAAAGAGCACCCGTATCTCTAAAGACATGAGGGGAGGGGCAGAAAAGACGTGAACACACAGACCTTGCTGGGCTGTCCCAGTGTGTCCCCATTAGTTTCACCCCGTGTGTCCAGGTGAATTTCTGTGTCCACTTCATCAAACGTAGCATAAAACTGCACGTGTTCCTTCTTTCTTTGGAGGCCACACATATAGCCATACTTTCTTCTGTTCTGTCATTTAGACAATAGAAACTGTTAGCTAATTGTTTTTAGTTGTGTCTCTATGGTGTTGGTTTGGCTTTTTAAAATTATAGTTTCAAATATAAGTTTACCAAATTATCTGTTTTCAAATGCAAGTTTACCAGCCTTCATTCACATAGATAATTCTGTTTAAAGAATTTGAATTTTTTCTTGATTCTGGGAAGATGGCCGACTGGTAGCAGCCCTTGTCAGAAGCTCCTGAGCAAAGGAAGAAAAACTGGATGGAATCAGAATCTATGAAGCCAAAGATGGGGAGCTGAGCCCAGAAAGAAGTTTGGCAAGCTGTAAATCCAAGGAAGAGCATTTAAGAACGCAAAATACAGGTACAAAGCAGGCCCCAGAACTGCTTGCTAGAGCCGCACACCTCCTGCACCCCACGGGTGGCAGTGGAAAAGTCCCGTGCTCTGGGTGTGCCCAGAACTGCTTGCTAGAGTTGCGCACCCCTTGGGCAGCAGAGGGGATCCTTGCTCCAGGCTCCCTCTCTGGGTGGGCCCAGAACAGCTTGCTAGTACCCCGGGCTTCCCATGGGCAGCAGTGGAGGAGTCCTCTAGTCTGGGCAGGCCCAAAACTGCTTGCCAGAGACACATGCACCCCATGGGGGCCAGCGGAGGAGTTCCCTGCTCCAGACACCCGTGTTGGGTGGGCCCAGAACTGCTTGCTAGAGCCACACGCAACCTGCAGGGTCACAGCAGGGGAGTCTACTGCTCTGGGCAGCCCAGAACTGTTTGCTAGAGCCATGTGCGTTCAGCAGCAGCAGTGGAGGAGTTCCCCACTAAGGGCTCCTGCACCGGGCGGGCCCAGATGGGCTTGCTAGTGCCACGTGTGTCCAGTGGGCAGCGGAGGAGTCCTTCACTCCCTCCCATTCTCCTGCCCTCCCCCCCCCCCACCCCCTTGCCCCTGTGGGGCTGAACTAGGACAGATCTGGCCGCTGCTGTTCCCTTGCCCCCTGGTCACCCTGGCCAGTGAACTAGGACTGATCTGGTCACATGAGTGCCCTGCGCCACCACTGCCCCCCCCCCTCGTTGCTCTGGCCGGGCTGACCTAGGACTGATCTAGCCGCTGCAGTTCCCCTGTCCCCCAGTTGCCCCTGCCAGGCTTAACTAGGACTGACCCCGCAGCGCCCCTGCCCCCCGGTTGCCCTGGCGGGGCCGAACTAGGACTGACCCAACTGCACGCGTTCCCCACACAGCTGCTGCTGTTCCCCTGCCCCCTGGTTATCCTGGTGGGGCCAAATTAGGACTGACCCAGCTGTGTGCATTCTCCGCACAGCCACTGCCATTCCCCGGCCCCCTGGTTGCCCAGCGGGGCTGATCAAGGACTGTTCCGGCTGCTGCCATTCCCTTGCCCCCTGATCACCCTGGTGGGGTCAAACTAGGACTGATCCAGCTGCTGCCATTCTCCTGCCCCCGGGCTGCCCTGGTGGGGCCGAACGATGTTCCCCTGTTCCCCCCCACCCCCGTCGCCCTGGTGGGGCTGAAGTAGGACTGATTCGGCTGCTCTTGTGCTCCGCACAGCTGCTGTCATTCCCCTGTCCCCTGGTAACCCCGGTGGGGCTGACCTAGGACTGATCTGGCTGTGCGAACACCTGGCGTCATTGCTGCAGGTTCCCTGCCCCCCAGTCACCCAGGTGGAGCCGAACTAGGACTGATCCAGTCACTGCTGGTCTCCTGCCCTCCAGTCGCCCTGGCATGCTGAACGAGGTCTGATCTGGCTACGCACACTCTCCCGCAGTTGCTGCTGTTTGGCTGTGCCCCGGTCACCCCAGCCCCCAAGAACTGGGAGAAGACGATAGACACACCCTGTCTCTCTGGGTAACCAGAAAAAGCCACTGACTGAACGCTTCTGGTAAGGTCTCCAAAGAGGGTAAACTCAGCATGGGGCAGAATCGGTGGAAAAACTCTGGCAACTTGAATAACCAGAGTAGATCAACTCCCCCAAGGAAAAATGGGGCAGATGCAATTGAAGACCCCATCCATAAAAAGATGGCTGAGATGTCAGAAATCGAGTTCAGAATTTGGATAGTAAATAAGATTAACAGAATGAAAGAAAGGAGAGAATTGGAATTTCAAGAAATGATTCAAAAAGTATCTCAATAAACTATTCAAAAGATGTCTCAAGAATTCAACAATTTCAAAGATAAAATGACCAAAAATTTTGTAATACTGAGACAAGAGGTTGCAACCCTCAAGGATCTGAAAGATATGGTGGAATCCTTCCATAACAGAGTGGAACAGGCAGAAGAAGGGATCTCTGACATTGAAGACAAAGCTTTTGAACAAGCCCAGGAGCACAAAGATCAAAAGAAATGGAGAGCAAAAACGGATTTTTCTCTCAGAGAGCTCTCGGATAATTCAAAGAAAACTAATATTCACCTTATAGGAATCCTCAAAGGCAATGAAGTTGCTTCACAAAACACAGAGGCTCTTCTTCATGAAATTATGAAAGAGAACTTACCAGACATGCCAAGAGATTCTGAAATTCAGACAGCAGATAATTTCAGAACCCCAGCACAACTCAACCCGAACAAGACATCTCCCAGGCACATCATAATTAACTTTACCAAAGTTAAGATGAAAGAGAAAATTCTGAAAGCAGTCGGATATAAGAAAATCATAACCTACAAGGGGAAGAGTATTAGGATGACTGCAGATCTCCTGGCTGAAACCTTTCAGGCCAGAAGAGGATAGTCATCGACTTTTAATCTCCTAAAACAAAATAACTTCCAACCCAGGATCCTGTATCCAGCTAAACTGAGTTTCATCTATGATGGAGAAATTAAATACTTTAATGATATTCACATGTTGAAGAAATTTGCCATAAC